GACTTGAAGGTGTTCCTCAGAATACTCAGCATATGCACAAAGGCATATGAATGTACAACAAGAAATCTCTACTCTTAGTAAGAAGAGAGAATACTCTAAAGATATGATTCGTTGAATCTTTGGCCAAAGTATAGGATGAGAATTGAAACAAGAACATTTGCAATTACATCCAAGTGAATCATATAACCTAAGGATGTCATATTAGGGATTTGACACAAATTAACCATATCCCAACAACACGACTATTATAATAGAAAAAGACCGAATTGCATTGTAATCACAAACTAACTAGTATCTCAAAATGAATTCTATTTAACTTGGGTAGCCATGACATACAGCTAGGTGTCACTCATAATTTGTGGAAGCCTTGTAAGGACTAATTACAATTAGCCTTCGCCAATAGGGAAAATTGTATAGAGGTATACAATGCACATTCGGTTTAGAAGTAATCATTCTTACTCACGGCCTCGCTAATTAGAACCTATAAGATTGCACACCGAAAAAGTATGGATCGAGAATTGAAAAGAGAATAATTGATTTTGCGACTTGGTCAAAGTTAAAGTCAAAGGTCAAACTGTTGACTAGGACCAATTCTTGTTAGACAAGTTAGTGATTTATTTAGTTAAGTCATTAAATCAATTAAGCTAATTATATTAGCTTAATGAATGAATTAAAGTTATGGAACTTTAGTTTTGGTCCTATATGACTTAAACATTTATTAGAAAGTGGAACTTATAGACTTAGGCAAAGTGTGACACCTTATAAGATTAATGTGGTAGACCAAAGGCTAAGGAAGAGGAGGGTGCGGCACATGGGGTTACTTAAGGGCATATGTGTGACAATATGTCTCTATATAATCATAGCCATAGCACAACACCTCCTTAGGGTTTCAAGTTAGGCATTTAGGAAGAAAGGAAAACATCAAGCCCCCTCCCTAGTCTCCCTTGGCCAGCCACCATAGAGAAGAAAAGGCTAGCACCCATTTTTCTTCTCTTTGTTCCTTATTCTCTCATTCTCATTCTACCTTGGTGAAGATACTTTGGGGAGGCATAACCTCATTGTGCCTATTTGGAGTACAAAGTGGAGAATCAAAAACTAAGGGACCATTCCCTCTACTTGAATACCATTCCTGGATTCAAGATACGCACCAAAGATAACCTCACTTTCTACCTTCTCTTTAATATGTGATATTAGTGTCAATGGTGCAAAATTTCATAAACCTATAAAGATTGGGACCTAAGTTGAGACTTGCATGAATCTCTAGCTATTTTCTTGCTTCCGCTTTATGTGATTTCATATTTGATATACATAGGCTAGATGATTTTTTTCTCTCATAGCTTCTAAGGATTTTATAAATCCCTACACCTTATTTTCCCTTCACAACTCCATTCTTTTTTTGAAAGCGACTGATAACCACATAATTATTACAATTTCTATCCCTAATATATATTTGTTAGTACCTTGTTTTATTGATTTTTGCACCAATTAGAATGTTCCATTGCATTTTACGAATCCATTTGCACTTCATTGAAATATAGGCTAATTCATTTGAATTCTCTATTTGGTAGCTCTCTCTTTGAAGTGGCACCCAAACTCTTATCAATTGGGAAATAATTGTTACATTCTATTCTAATATCATGATTTTATATAGGTGCATGCTGGAGCTATTAAAGAGAAAGAATGTGCATGCATATGAAGCAAAAAGAAAGGAAAGAAAAGAAATGAAGTCAATTCCAGTCTATTTTCGGCAGTCAACTTGCAAGGCCCAAAACGTACACTTGTACTGCTCATATGGGAATACATTCTTCATAAAAGTTGTTACAATGGGTGTTTATTATGACATATCCAAATTTGAGCCCCATTGGACACATATTGAAACCTCAGGCCTTCCTACACCAAGCCTGGTTCAGAAGAATCGTTTTT